TAATTTCTTATAATTGTGAAAAGGTGTCAGGCAGGGCACTGGACAAAGCTCTAGGGACAAAATTGAAGTGGAATAGTTTGATACATAAGTGTAATCATAGCAGATTACATTGTATTGTGTGTATTCTGTGTACATTACAACTTTTCACTTTTGAATTTCCCGCCGGCTGAGACGCCCGAAAACAAAACTAAAAGTCAGATGCCGGCTTTTAGTTTCATTTTCGGGCCGCGTACAGCAGAGGACGCCGCGGGCTCGCAGGGACAAGGTGAGTGTCACTTTTCTCTGCAGCCCCGAGTCTGGCTCAGGGTTACCGCTTCTAGCATTGAAAATTCACCCCAAGCCAGACTCGGGATTACCGCCAGGGAGGTTAACTGAGCTTGCTAGAACTAGCTCGTGGGGAGTATATTCCATATTTTCACAGCTCTAACTGTGAAGAATCCTTTCCGTATGCAAAGGTTAAACTTCTTTTCCTTCAGACGCAAAGAGTGCCCCCTTTTCCTTTGCAGTGACCTTATAGTTAATAATTTGGCACCAAGCTCTTTATATGGACCATTTATGTATTTATACATGGTGATCATGTCCCCCCTTAGTCGCCTCTTCTCCAGAGAGAACAAATTCAGGTCAGCTAATCTTTCCTCATAGCTGAGCTCCTCCATGCCTCTTATGAGTTTAGTCGCCCTTCGCTGCACTTTCTCCAGTTCCACAATATCCTTTTTGTAAACTGGTGCCCAAAACTGAACTGCATATTCCAGATGAGGTCTTACTAATGCTTTGTACAGGGGTAGGATTATGTCTCTATCTCTGGAGTCTATACCTCTTTTAATACAAGAAAGTATTTTGCTTGCTTTAGAAACTGCAGCTTCACATTGCATGCTGTTATTGAGTCTATGATCTACCAGAACACCCAGATCTTTCTCCATCATTGACTCCCCCAAACATACTCCCCCTAGAGTGTATGATGCATGCATGTTTTTAGTCCCCAAGTGCAGAACTTTACATTTATCAACATTAAACCTCATTTGCCAAATAGATGCCCAATCACACAGTGCATTCAGATCTGCTTGTAAGTTGGAGACATCCTGTAAGGACTGTATTCCACTACATAACTTGGTGTCATCTGCAGACACAGAAATAGTACTTTTAATCCCCAATTCTATGTCATTTATAAATAGGTTAAACAGTAAAGGGCCCAACACTGAACCTTGGGGGACACCACTAACAACCTCAGACCATTCAGAGTACGAATCATTGATCACCCCTCTCTGAATACGGTCTTTAAGCCAGTTTTCTACCCAATTACAGATGGAATGCTTGATACCTACTGACCTTAACTTATACATTAGCCGCATGTGGTGAACTGTGTCAAACGCTTTTGCAAAGTCCAAGTATACTATATCCACGGCCATTCCTCTGTCCAATTTATTACTCCCTCATAAAAGAAAGTAGGTTTGTTTGACAACTTCTGTCTTTTGTGAATCCGTGCTGACTATCGCTTATGAAATTATTTTCAAGCAAAAACAATTGCATGTGATCATTGATCAAACTTTCAAGTATCTTGCGCCAATCCATCGGTATCAAGCCAGTCATTAGAGTGTCTAAAAATGAGATACAATGGCTTTGAAATTACACAGCTCAATTCTTTGAGGACACGTGGGTGTAAGCCATCTGGACCAGGTGCTTTGTTCACCTTAATTTTGTCTTACTGTTTCTGGACCATATCAATAGTCTGCCATTGTGGTTCATTAGAGGCTATGGCACTGCTATCCCCATTATGGACTTGAGTTACATCCTGTTACTTGCTGTGCACAGAGCTGAAGAAAGTTTTTAATAGATTTGCCTTCTCTTTGTCCCCAGTTACCATCTCTGAGGTATTTTTTAAGGGGCTGACATGCTCAGACCTGATTTTGTTTTTTTTCCACAATATAGTTTAAGAATTCGCTGTGTATTTCCAGAAGCCTGCAGATTATATGTGTAAGGAGTGATTATATTTATCATTTCAGACATTCCCAAAGACAGACATTCTGTTAGACAATGAATCCCAGGGAAGTGGACTTTATCTACCAGAGCTTGATGAGCCAGAATACTGCAATGCACAGAGTTCGGCACTGTGGGAGCTGCACTGCTTACAGGTAATTCAGTCAATTCCAATCTAGCCGAAAGCTTTTGTATGTGAAACATTAATGTATTATTGAGCAATCTGTATCGCCACCCTTACTGTGGGCTTTTATGGAAACCTTTACCGAAATAACTGAGAAACATGGAGGCTGCCATTGCTGGCCTCTTCTTCTGAACATGCTGGTTGCTTGCTTGCTGGGCCTTTTGTGTCGGCAATGAAGAGTTTCTGTCCTGGAACAGTTATGCAGATCAGCATTTCCGACTGTAGTGTTCCTGATCTGCATCTTTGGGTCAGCATGACAAGGAAGAACTAACTAACATATTCAGAAGGGGTAAATGGCACATGGCAGCTGCTAGTAAACATTCCCCAGAAATTAAATAAGTAAAGTGCAGGGGAATGAGCGAGTTCCCATGACTCACCTTCCCGTCACTGCGGGTCACATCCCTTATGGCTCACCTGCCAGCAGCTTACTAAGCCTTGCACAGACTTCCCAACTTCTGGCACACATGGACCTCTGACACTGAGCCGCACTCTGCTGCCACCTGTCTCTGGCTCCCTGCTGTATCATTTATAATAGTAGATCATCACTCAGTGTTGGCGGGCTGGTATATCCCCTGACATTGGATGTTTACTAGAAGCCGACATATCTTTCACACAGCCCCGCCAACACTGACTGATCCTCTGCTATTGTAAAGGAGACAGCAGGGAAATTGAGATTTCGGCGGCATTTACTATTTAAAGTCTTTTTGTTGTGATCTGTGTTAACCCCTCCCCCTGATGAGTGCTGATTGACAGAGCTTGTGTGCCCGATGCCAGCGCTGTCAATCAACACTAATCATTTATTTGTCTCCT